GAGAGTGTTATGATCCACTGAAAGAGTTATCCAGCCAGCCCCTCTGTGTCTTTGCTGATCACACCTCATCCTCAACATCTGGAGGAGTTTACCAAGATGTCAAGGAGAAAATGTGCCCGTAATTTAGCTGTAAGGTCTTTTATTAAAGTTCCAGTTCAACAGTGCCCATTTGTATATCCATTAAGACACATTTAAAGTGAAACAAGGGAATTTTTGTCATTGTGACACAGCACACCGCTGCACACGCAATAAAACGTGCCCTCTGCATTTAACCCATCACCAAATAGAACACGGGGCAGGTTTAAGCACCCAGGAAGGGACAGAGCACCTCAGTGGCAACTTGGCAGCTGGTGAACTCAAACTTGAAAGCTTCTGGACCCAAGTCTGCTTCCTTAACCACTAAACCACCATTGCCCACAAATATAGCCAACCACTTAATTGAATTACCAGTTAATATGACAAATTCAACAACCACAGAATCAAAGATTTGAAACTTCCACAGGTAAACACAAAGTATGTATATTATTGTGTAATCAAATATTGTGGCGTTGCCTTTCCAAGTGTTTATGAGACTTCCAGGTGGGGCATGTGAAATACCATAACACCTAAAAAAATAAAAACTTCTGTTTCCAGAAATTGGCAGAACCAAAATGATTTCTTCCCATATGGAGTGTCAGTCTTCTAATATAAAATAAAGTCAATAAACAAATGAAGATGAGGGAGTGGTGAATAACCTTTGGCACCAAACTTTTCAGCTTAAGTGAGAAACATTAAAATCTCAGGTAATTATTGTAACTTGTACTATAAGTCATTGATCACAATATTTATTTTGTGAAGATTAATCAGGTCAGATCATAAAATTTTAATGCACAAACTATATGACATGCGCAGTATCTCCAACTTCACGTCCACACACGGTACATACACATGCTGTTGTGGGAAAGGTTTTTCTTTAAAGAAGGATCTAAAGCTTAAAATAACATCACAATAGCAGGCATGAACTTGGAAGGCTTCAACTTCTGATCTGACGCCCAGCTTGTATCAGACCAGCGTCACAGAACACAGGGCAGTAAGTCTACGGCTGAAAGGCTGAACAACACACTCATCAAATGGATCGCAAGGGACTGTAAACTGACTTGTTTTGTTTAAGACACTGGCTTCACCGAAGATTTGAAAGCAACTCTTGAGGTGTTCAACAAGAGATGTTAAAAAACAAAGTTATTCGTCCATATTAGCAATCATATCAATAATGCCATGTGTGAGTTTCATAATGACAAAATTCTTCTCCTCTGATACCACACATTCTGAACCTAAAGTCTTTTT